CTGGAATAGATAGTAAGATCTTGTTCTTTTTCTACAATCCCTAATGTTTTCCTCTTTGGAAACTGAAGCTTTAAAACAGTCTGTATTCAAGCCATTCAAGTTGGATTCTTCTGTATATTCGGCTGGAAATTCACCAAGAAAAACACTGCCTTCAAACTTTCACATCCAAAGTTAGACAGGACTGAGGGACCCCATAGGATAGGGCTTAAAATAGTGCCTGTTAAAATCCCTTTCATCAGATGAGGCCAGGATCCAAACTCAGCATTACCTAAACAAGCTTCTCCACTGACAGTATTTCACTAGGGAGTTCCAGCTAAGAAATGACTGACGGGCTGTGAGAGGAACAGTGGTAGCATTATAAGAGGGTGGGTGAGTGTTCGCCCCATGTAGTATCTCTGCCTGCTCAGGTAGTTTCTCCAGCCTGGAAATCCAAATCACTCCTCCTTCAGTAGGTTTTTATTTCATAGGAATATGAATAAATTACCTTTTATGTCCTGTTCTGATTTCCCAAAGCAGACTAAATCACGACCGACACTCTGCTTTCTGTACAGTCCTGTTACTGTGAAGCATGGTCACTTCCAACTCACAGTGACACAGAACTGTCCCACAGGGTTTCCTAGGCTGTAACATTTATGGAAGTAGATCATCAAGTCTTTTTTCCTACAGAGGAGTTGATACCTTTGAACCTCGAATCTTCAGGTTAGTTGCCAAGTGCTTACCCAGTACACCACTGGGGCACCTGTATAGCACTCATCACTTTATTTTATACTTGCTATGATTATGGGAAAGCATTCCTGCCCTGAAAGTCTGTGAATAAATGAATTCAGGAAAACCATGAGTAACATACTGGGCTGATAACTGATTTGACTTAACCAGACACTCCACAGGAAAAAATACATGCAATCTCCTCCCATAAAGATTTACAGCCTTGGGTATCCAATGATGGTTCCATCAGTCAGAATTAACTCTATGACAGTGGGGTTAGTGTTCGGTGCAAGGTAAAAAGTATGAAATCCTTCCTATAATATTTTTAATATTTACTAACAATGTTAGTCTAGAGACTAAAGTGTGCCTGATTGAGGCCATGGTCTTCTCAATTACTTGCTATGCATTAGAGAGCTGGACAGTGATTAAAGATGACAAAAGAAGAATTGATGTCTTTGAGTTGTGATGGAGAAGAGTCTTGGATATATCATGGACTGCGAAGAAAACAAATAGGTCTTTCTTGGAGAGGGTGAAAGCAAGTATCTTTGGAGGATAGGATTTTGAAGCTCAATTTCACATACTTTGGGCACATGGCCAGGAGGGACCAGTGTTTGGAGAACTACATCAAGCCTGAAAGGGTGGAAGGACAGTGTAGGAGAGGAAGACCCTAGATGAGATGGATTGACACCATAACTGGGGCAATGGGGATAGAAGTGTCAGAGTCAGTGAGACTGGTTCAGGACAGGGTAGGTTTCAGAGCTGTTATACATAGGGTCACTAAGAGTTGCAGGTGATTCAACGGCACCTAACAACAACAACTGCTACTACTTGACCTACATTCTATTCTTCTAATGAAATCTTAGGCATAAAGCAAAATATGAAAATACACTATGTGGTGTCAAGGGTTTCTTGTTTAAAATGTCATTCCTTGTCATTGACTCTGACTTTGCCATACGAATGAGAAGGATCATACGAGGGTGTGTTAGTCTATCCATAGTGGGACTGGCTAGTCTCACCATTAAATTGAGTAGATTCTGTGGCAGAAATGGAGACTCTTGCTACCTGCAACAAAAAAGAAGTCAAGAATGCACTTTGTGTCCTTTGGGGTTAGAGGTTTCTGTGCCAACCACACATGAATATAGAGGAGCAGCTGCAGTCACAGCAGAGAATCAGAGACCCAACATGAGACAGAGCTGACCTGCGACTCTATTCTATGGAACCAGAGGCCTTCATCCAATCTTGCTATAAGTTAGGGATAGGAAGAGAGAGCAAGGGGTAGGAGAGGGGAGAGAGAGGGATAACGCTTTAATTTGTGATCCTAAGAGAGCTTTTTAACTAGACAAAAGCCAAAACATTTCAGAAGCTGTCCTTACTGAGAAACAGTATTCCTGTCTCCATCTTGAGTTGCAAGCTGTTAACTTCCCTATTAAACCCCATAAACATGAGCATGTTTCTGTGTGGTTTGCACAGTTAATGCAACACACTTTGGACTCAGAAGAAGAGTAGCTTGGTGTATGAGTTAGTAGAAATAGGTGTGGGAATGTGGGAGACGTGTGACATCATAGTTTTGTGCTACAGATGTTGATGAGGGGGTGCAGGTGCCCCTTGTGGAGCTAGCAGAGGTCAGAAATGGCCATCCTTATGCTGTCCACACTCTTTTCACATACTATAGAGATAGACATCTCAATCCTAAAGGATGATATTGAGAGAGAGTGGAATCAGTTTCTATTTTCTAGATGTATAACCCTGACTCAATTTCTCTTTCTGAGTCTTCATGCTTTCACATGAAATGACAGCAGCACAAACAATAAAGATGATAATTCTTAAACTTGCAAATAAAACAGACCACTCATTCATTCATTGTTATTGAGTTAGAACTGACAGAGCTGATCCTCAGTCGGTTTTCAGAGGCTGTAATTCTCATGAGAGGTGACTGTCCATCTTTATCCCCACTCAGAGCAAGTTAGTGGATTCAAAGTGGTTAGTATAATTTCTTATCCACTAGCGCAGCTGAACTTTCCTTAATTAGACTTGTTTATACATTTTGATTAAAATTGTAATAGTGTATCTGGTTAAAATTGTAATAATATATCTGATAGGCCCTGCTGGACTCACTCCCGGACAACAATCTATCTTGCTAACACCCACCACAGCCAATCAGCATGCTTTACAACTGCTTCCTCTGCCAAGAGACTGTCTGCCTAGCAAGGAAATCAGCTGTTGCCTAATGTCACCTAACCCCGCCAACAGCCGCAGCCAATCAGCATGCTCCATGACTACTTCCTCTGCCAGAAGATGGCCCCTTCCTCCCGAGTCATTTAAAAGGCCACATCTTCTTCACACCCGTGAGAATTTCTCTGACCCATCCTGCCTGCCTGTCTCTCTGTTTCTCCCACCCAGGTCAGAGCACCGTGCCCGAGAGCATGAAAGCACCAATAAAAGCTGCTTTGCTTACTTTTGGTTTCTGTGCCTGCTTTACCTAACAATATCTGTACCAAAAACTAACTGAAATGTAATATATAAATTGTTATTATATTTTCAATTAAAAGTTAAAATTGGAAACATGGGCAAAAAAGTAGAAATAAAGATTAAAGAATGATATGAAAGGTCTTTTAAACTCTGCAGATGTTTATGTATCTTTGCTAAAAAGATTTTGCTATTATTGTTAGGGAACTCTGGAAGTGCATCCTGTAGGGAGTCATACTCCTAAACCAAAGTGTCCACCTTTCTGTTGGTTCAAGTTCACCAGCAGTTCCTTTGGTAAAAGATGGGTAATTTTCTCCCATGTGATTTTCAGCTTTGACAACCCACTGGAGGATAAGCTATGAATCACTTATAACTCTACAGCAAGGAGAGTGAGAATTACTTTTTTTATCACTGCCACAGTAACTGGATGCAAAATTCTTTATAAAGATGACATTAAAGATATTTAAATCTTTCTATAGACTAAGTCTTGAGATAACATGCACCTAGCTTACATAATTATGGTGTTGATGAATAGTACTGAATATATGAAGTGGTTGTACCATTTTATAATCACTTTTGGAAGGCAGTCTGTTGTTTCCTCAAAAAGTGAACACAGAAATTTTCTATGACCCAGCTATTCCACTGCTTGGAATATACTCCAAGAAAATGAGACCTGCAAGAAAATGAGAACTGAGACACAAATGTAGACTTGTAAACCAATGTTCATAGCAGCGTTACTCACCATCGCAAGAACATGGAAACAGCTCAGATATCCAACTATCTATGAGATGACTGAGAAATTATGGTACATTCACATGATGGAATACTATGCAGCACACAGGAGCAATGATTTTGAAAATTACTACTTAACTTGGGAGGGACTGGAGAACATTGTTCTGAGTGAACTAACTCAATCCTATAAGGACAAATACTGTATAAGACCATTATTGCAGAATGGGTATGAGGATCCAAGGGAGGTGGAGGGTGGGAGCTGAAGGGTGAGGATGGGCAGGGGAGTAATGATAAGGTCACACAATTTGATGGGTAGAGGGTGGGGTGGGAAAAGGAAATGGGAAAGATCCAGTAGGAAAAAACATGCACACAAGTACTGAATATCCAGAGGATGCCAAAAGAACAAACAAGTCTGCCCTGGAGGAGGTGTAATCAGAGTGCTTCTGGGAGGCAGGGTTGGTAAAATTTCATCTCATATACCACATACTTCGGGTGTACTGGCAGAACAAACTAGTCCTTGGAAAAAGATATCATGCTGGGGAAGGTACAGAGTTAGAGAAAGTGAGGAAGACCTTCAACAAGATGGATTGACACAGTGGCTGTAACAAGGTGCTCCAGCATATTAGAGATGTGAAAATGGATACAGGGCAGGCAGGCTTTAGACCTATTGTTGCCATGAATTGAAGCAATGTGGCAGCAATTAACAACAAAACTTATATAAAGATAAAAAAAAAAAAGCTCTCTCTACATGTGTAGGTACACACACACACACACACACACACAGGTATAAATTTACACTTAAGCAATACAGTTAACCCCATGGAGGTAATGATTTTCTCTTCCTCTAAGAAGCTCAAACTAGTCTTCTCTATTGAATCTCCCTACTAAGACCTTAAGAAGAATCTTTCCTCTCCACAGGAAATGAGAAGCCTACTAGGGCTGATGGGTTCAGCACAAAACTGGGAAAATCATATAGCTAGATGAAAAGCTGAGGAGACTATCAGCCCTTATGAAACACTTAAAAATATGGCTTAGTTTTTAAATTCTTGTCAATACAGATTCTGAAGAAACCATTAAACACCGACTTTTGCACTCACCCCTTCTCCACACTGTCATGGACTGCTGCAACAACACCTTCCAGGACTTGTAGGGGGTTCTGTTGTCCACCAAGGTCAGAATCGCCTCCACTGTGCAAGGCAAGAGAAAAGTGGTTCAGAAAAGGTCACTCAAACCTGATGAAACCAACTGGATCAGAGCATAAACATTTATGACATTTCTACTGTGCACATAAGCCAAACACTGTATTGTGAGCTAAGAATATGGATATAAAAATTATTCTGTCTTCAGGAAGTGCATGGTCTAATATATGCACATTTTCCTATCAAGAGACTAATATTTGTACCTGCCCTTTAATAAATATTCACTATTCACCCAAAATATGGATTATATTAAACACCAGATATAAATTCTTTAGTTTGTATTTTTAAAAAAACACCACCACCTTTCAAGGAATATTCAACCTAAATCCTTCTGATCATATGGAGATTTTTGAAAGTATTTCTTTGAGTTTATTATGTTTAATTTGTTTTGTTTGTTTGTGTATAAAGGACGTTCATCTAGATGATAACATAATAATGATAAAAACAAAAGGGGGAGAATATGGGAAGCCAATACTAAATATCTGTAATAAACTGAATGCTATTTAAATTAAAAAAAAAAACACACAACCAAAAAAACAACACCACAAAAAATTAATGTTCTAGAGTTCATGCATCCAGGAGGAGGAGCCACGACGGCTCCAAGGAGAGGAGCACAAGGACACAAAGGGGCAGCGAGGACATGGCCAAGGAAGGGTCAGAGCGCAGGGTGAGATGAAGCCTCTTGTTGGAGTGGAAATGCTTTCATCTCTATAGGGGGTTCTGGAGGCAGACCTGAGGGATCTGAATAGAGTGGATATGGATTCATTGGTGAAATGGTTTAAATTTTTGAAATTGAAGTAGGTCTACACATTAGGAACTCATGTCTTTTCTCGTAAGTAAACCAGAACGAATTAGGCGGTGGGTCTTGAAAAAGTGCATTGTTGAGGGCTTAAGAGATTTGGAACTGTTTGGAGATCAATGAGGCAAGCTCAGAGTCGATAGCATCCTTCTCTAAACAAGAGATCATGAGCAGCTTCCTGCCAGAGGGAGGGTGTTATGAGCTCCTCATCGTGATAGGAAAAGGCTTCGAGGACCTGATTACTGTGAATCTAGCAAGGTACAAACCGACAGGAGAGTACGTGACAGTGCGAAGGATTAACTTAGAAGCTTGTTCCAATGAGATGGTGACCTTCTTGCAGGGGGAGCTTCATGTCTCTAAACTCTTCAACCATCCCAATATTGTGCCATATCGAGCTACCGTTATTGCAGACAATGAGCTGTGGGTCGTCACATCTTTTATGGCATATGGTTCTGTCAAGGATCTCATCTGTACACACTTCATTGACGGTATGAACGAGCTGGCCATTGCTTACATCCTTCAGGGGGTGCTGAAGGCCCTGGACTACATCCACCACATGGGCTATGTCCACAGGAGTGTCAAAGCCAGCCACATTCTCATCTCTGTGGACGGGAAGGTCTACCTGTCCGGTTTGCACAGCAACCTCAGTATGATCAGCCACGGGCAGCGGCAGCGTGTAGTCCACGACTTCCCCAAGTACAGGATCAAGGTTCTTCCTTGGCTCAGCCCGGAGGTCCTCCAGCAGAATCTTCAGGGTTATGATACCAAGTCTGACATCTACAGTGTGGGAATCACAGCCTGTGAACTGGCCAATGGCCACATCCCCTTCAAGGATATGCCTGCCACCCAGATGCTGCTGGAGAAGCTAAATGGCACTGTGCCCTGCCTACTGGACACCAGCACCATCCCCGCTGAGGAGTTGACCATGAGCACCTCACGCTCGGGAGCCAACTCAGGCCTGAGTGAGAGCCTGGCCCCCAGCACCCCCAGGACCTCCAATGGGGACTCGCCCTCCCACCCCTATCACCGCACCTTCTCACCCCACTTCCACCACTTTGTGGAGCAGTGCCTTCAGCGCAACCCGGACGTAGATCAAGCGACGTGCTTCAGAGGCATTGCCTGAGTTACTTCGTCCTGTCACCCCCATCACCAATTTTGAAAGCAGCCAGGCTCAGGACCACAGTGGAATCTTTGGCCTGATAGCAAACCTAGAAGAACTGGAGGTGGACGACTGGGAGTTCTGAGCCTCTGGACTTTGTACACTGCCTAGCTGGGACTCTGGAGTGTCGCAGGCCTGCTGTCCTGAGGGCTGGCCCCGTTCCCACACTCCTGGATACAGACTGGGTAGAACAGACATATTTGCCAGGAGAGTTGACTGCTTTCTGAATGGGAAGGAAATTCCTGGAGAGAGACTTTGCTTCATTTCTCCAAGGCTTTCGAGACAAAAGGGAACAGAGGGTTGTTGGGGATAGAACAAGACACCACCATTCCCCCGAGTGAGCTCAGATGAGTGCTTCTGAAGGAAGAGATGGTGTTGCTGTGGTCCTGGGGACTGATGTGCCAGCCAGGCTTTGGGTCTTTGGCCCAGGGCACCATGTGCTGCTCTTGTCCATCTCTTGCGCTCCCATCAGCATCTTTTTCTTTCCTGTGCATCTTGTCCCTTCATCTCAGATACCTCCGTAACAGTGGAAGGGAGGGGTATTTCTCCCTTTCAAATAGTATGTTCAGGCTGGGGCTGTGGGGTCTTCTCCTTCTGTCCCCCTCAGGACATGACACATGACACCTAAAATCACGTCATTCATACAGCAGAGAATTCTTCCTTTCCACCAAGAATGCATCCTGATGCCTTCTGCCAGTTGCCTTGGTGCTTTCTCCTGGGGCTGTCTCCTCTTGTTTAGCTTGAGTCATGAGGCCTTATGCTGTGTTAGGTTCATTGTCAAAACAAATTAAACTTTTCAGCGAGGCAAAAAAAAAAATTAATGTTCTATTTGGTATTTAGCTATGTAATTTTGTGACTGTTGTCTGCTGTCAGGTTGGAAATACATAGCTGATATATTCTAGTAGGGTATCTGAGACAGTCAACTGTATCCTTCTCCCATGGAGCAGCTGATGACTTAGAATTGTACTACTCTGGGATTGCAGCACAGTTTCTTATCAATAGGCTATAAGAGTTTCTAGGTAATAGCCATTGCTAAATCCCTTACATGAATTACACCTTTTAGTAATGCCATCAGTCCTATGATCTAGGTAGGTAACTATGCCCATTTTAATGTGTGGCACAGAAATTATTTTAATAATATAAGTCATACATTAAATCAACTTGCCTGGTTCAGTTATACTTGCCTCTTTAAAGGTAAATGTTACAGAGATGCTCAACAGAAATCTCTTTTCCTTTAAAAAGAAGTAGCCTTGAGACAGAATTAATCATCAAAAGTTCCCTCTCTTTCCACCACTGAATGATTTAAATCACATTTATTGACTGTCTTCTGTGTGCCAAATATATAATTTATTTGATCAGAATAAAATCTTTTGTAAAGGAACTTCCTATCAAAATTTTCTAAGTGTAAGAGTATCACATGCCATGTTTTTATCTTAATAAATTAAAAAGGTACAAGTTCTAGAAAAATAAAGCAAATTCACCAAAGCATTAACTTAAAAAATGTTTATTTCTTGTGACTTTCACCTAAAACTTGTTTTTAAAAAATTTAACCATGAATCAAAAATATTTAAATGTGGCAAACAAATATCTATCTACTCTAACTTGAAGAATCATTCTTTAACTAGTAACAACAAAGCCATCATAAGCTAATTATAGAACAATACTTGATTAAAATGGTGTTTGTCTTTCTAAAATAATGTTTGGCATATTCTTTATCTCTATATATAAATTTACCAAATTCTGCAGAGCAATAAGGTAAATCTGTAAGGCTGGGGTAATTAAACTGATAAAAGCTCATTTGATTTCAATTCAGCCATAGAAAACTGACATGCATTTAATCAAAAAGTTCCTCAAGAGCAATAGAGAATTACAAAGAATGCTTAAAAGCAGAATAAATTAAACACAACTAAATCTTTTAGCCTAATTGCATTATTCACAGAAAGTACTTGATGCCTCATTATTTTCTTAGCTTAACTTTCTCCTCTTTTCTAATCCTCTTGGATGCCTTCGTATAAAGACACAAGCATATCAACACAAAATGAGAATTTCTCAGTTGTCAGTTTAATGCCATTTACTGCAAGTACATAAAGTCCTAAGACACCAAATTCTTCAACATATGATTAACCTTACCATACATACTTTAAAAAAAAACCTTCCGGGAACCATTTTCTCACTGCTTCAAAGATGGGAAACTAAGATAGGAAAGCTCTGAAAAACCATACCTAAGCCACATGGAATTCTGACCTTTAACCTTCTCAACAATTTGGCTTCCCCTTTATTTAAAAAAGAATATTTTGCTTTCTTTTTAATAGAAGATGGGGAAGAGAGAAGGGAGGCTGAATCACAAGTTAGCTCCTAAATATGTTATCCACAATACTACTGAAGAACATTTTTTCTGGTTTTCTATTTCTAAGACATTTGAAAATATGAACCTTCAAAAACTGTATTCACAATATTTCACTTTTGTAAATTATTTCAGAGTTTACAAAATGCTTCTAGTTATCAACTGATTTTATTGTCATAACAACCATGATGCAGGGACTTTCATTGGGAAAATATCACCTCAGGTTTTCCCCTCAGTGAGGTGACTACAACTTACCTTAATGCAGAAATTATTTTCATTATTGCACTTTGTACTACATCCTTGGGTGAGATGCCAATGGGGCCAACAGCCACTTCTAGCAGCTGCTGAATCATTCCTAGTGGCTGACTATCTAAGCACATGGTCACAGCTTGATCGTGAAGCTTCTCTTTTTCTGATCGAGATAGATCATAGAGGATACTGTATTTCTGCAGCATTTCCTACAAAGACATGGTATTCAACACTTAAATGTCAAATAGGAATGAAATGTGTTAACATGCATATAAGGAAACACACTTAGAAGATTCTCAAACCAAATACATCACATCACAACCTCTAAAGTTATACTCAGGAACATGGAGTGGTTAGTAAGAACTTAGGCTCCAGATTCACTCAGGCTTGAGCTCAAATTCTTGTTTACCATTTAGTATTTTTTGTGCCTGTGATCTCAAATTTCGGTGACTGTAAAGTGATGAGGACAACAGGTTCTTGAGACTAGATTAAACGAGATAAACTATAAGTTAGGCATAATGTAATGATGTCAAGCATTAAAGTAATATTCCGTAAGCGTAGTTTTATTATTATTTACTACAACCACCCAGCAGTAGTAGTCTATTCAGCATCAGTTATATGAACCTAGATTCTGTACACGTAGACCATAAAAGTAGTTTTTAATAGCCTCACATTTTTATGAAAATAAAAAAAGGCAGCAGATCAAGGATATTAGATAACATGCTCTACATCACACGGCAAGTAATGAATGGAGCTAGGAACCCAGGGCTAGCTTCCAAAAGGCTACTTTTCACCCTCCAATGTTATCCATTCTGTTTTTCTTTGAGAGTAGCTATAAAAATAAACATCAGAATAAATAATTTAAGACTTAGGACATAAATTAATTGATTTGTTTTCACATTAAAAATGGATACTTATGGTATAATAATAAGTTATAATATTTCCAGATTCTTTAATGTTTACAAAGATACCTTGAATATACTATTTTGTCTTTGCAAATAACAAAATGAAAAATCTGAGCAAAAACAAGCTATATTTTTGATATTAAAGAATTACTATTGATTTTACTATGCTAATATTGTAGGAGTGATATTTTAAAAGTATGTATCTTTTAACACTACATATGGAAGTGTGGAAATTATCAAACAGTATCATGGATATCACATGCAAGCAAGATTCTACTGAAGATTATCCAATAAAGACTGGACCAGCACATCAACAGAGAACTGCCTTAAGTGCAGGCCGGGTTTAGAAGAGGCCGTGGTATTGGGGATACTATAGCTAATGTTAGATAGGTCTTGGCTGAAAGCAGAGAGTACCAGAGGAATGCCTATCTGTGTTTCACTGATTTAAAAATTTTGTTGTTGTTATGTGCCGTCGAGTTGCCTGCAACTCATAGCAATCCTATGCACAACAGCCCTAAACCCTGCTCTGTCCTGTGCCAGTCTCACTGTCTCCAACACACCTGCCCCCACTACTCCAGTCACTGAATCAATTCCCCTCATAGAGCGTCTTCCTCTCCTGTGCTGTCCCGCCACTCTCCTTGCAACATGGTCCCTACTTGCAACATGACCAAAGAATGTCAGATGAAGCTTGAGAATCCTTTCCTCCAAGGAGGAGCCTGGTTTAACCCTCTCCAGGATGAATGTGAAGTGCCCTACTTTCTCCAATTGCAGACTATAACATTGTAAATATCACCAGGATAAAAATCCAGATTGTAAAAGCAAGTTTGTTTTCTGAAAAGGCATCTAGGCTGTCCAGTTCATTACTTAATGTTATTTATTAGACTGGCTAACAGGAACAGAAATGTTCAAAGTGAAGTAAAACTGCTATTAAAGCTTTGAATTAATTTCATTATGCTTTCAATGATGGGCTTGCCTTTATGTGTCTCATAAAAATTCTGAAGTCTTCCATTAATTCATTATTCAAACTCTGTTTGAACACAATTCAATCTGTTAAGGGTGATGGGGAAAAAATCTGCAAATGGGTAGTAATTAGGGAGAACAATATGATGTACATAATAATATTACTGAACAGTACATGTAAAAAATGTTTTATTCTTTATTTACCACAATAAAAAACTGCAATTCTGTTTATTCAATTTAGTAAATTATAAAATTTAAGAAAAATAAAGGCGATTAGTGGACACTTTTAAGTTTATTCACCACAATATTAAAGAGCAAATGGAACATTATTTATATAGCTAAAACCTGTTTTCACACATTAGTGTAACTGAAACAGCTTTTTGAGAGTTCCCTTCAGGCCATTTCATTTTAACAAAAGACCTACATTATCACTTGTTTTGCAATGGAAAGAAATTCAGAAGAGGAATTTTGGTTTTTTTTTTGTCTTCAAAGACAAAAATTGAAGGGGAGATGGGTAAATGTATGGAGATAGGTAAGAGTATGCCTCTGAGTGCTTTTTTTTGCAGTGAGCCTTTAAAGAGATGGCACACACCAAGCAACTCTTGCCAGGAATTACATTCGGCAGCAGTAAAGCTCTCACAGATTTGATCTGTGAATCTATATGTTAGCTTTATTTTAGGTTTGTATTCTATTTGCAGGTGTCATCTGGTAGGTTACTTTTTGGGTTGGAAATGCTAAAAAATGTTTCCCTATTAATGAGAAGTGCTTCTCTGCATTATGCCATTTCTGCTTACAAAAGCTTTCAAAGGAATGCTCTAATTTTGAAGAGCTGGGAAAATTTGTATATGAAAACCACTTATTTGATTTACCAACTTTTCAGTTATAGAAAATAGTATCTAAAAAACCTAAGCCTCCTATAATGCTGAACAAAACCACCAAATGCTACAAAGGCTTCAGATTTTTTTTGGTTTTGTATAGACTTAACATGCTAGTCCTCAATCAATCAGAGGCAGGGGCTCCTCAATGTCACTACGGTGCCTTCTGAGATACTTAGGTCAGTTATTATTATAGCCATTCTTGCTGTTACTGTTAGGTGCTGTCGAGTTGGAACTGAATCATAACTGACCCTCTAGTGTCCAGAGGCTGTAAACCCTCTGAAAAGGTTTACATCTTTCTACTGCAGAGCAGTTTACGGATTTGAACTACTTGCCTTTGGGGTTGACAGCATAACTCCTTACCATTTGGTCATGAGAGCTCCCATATCAAAACATTATTATTAAGCAAAATATTCACATAAACAATAAAAATTACATTGAAAAGTTGTAACATAAAAATGAGTACACCTATTTTGAACAAACTGAAATAGGCATGGAGGCTTTGTGTGAAAATTATGGAGAATTGCTTACTATTTATTTGTGGCAACATCATGTAGCTAAAATTAGCGTAACAAATGCATTGTCTTTGTCAATTCTCAGCAAAAGGGACCAGCATCCAGTGTTGATCTCCAGTTAACCATCTCCCTCTCACCCACCAAGTCTTACCCTTCACCACTTTGATCCCCAGGATCAACTGTTAAGTGGCTTAATAATCTTTTATAATGAAGTAAAAATGAACTTAACAATCTAGTGGTAATGAAGAGTTTAAAGGATAAATGTTTGAGGATTTTTTTAAGCACTTCTATAAGACTGAAAATCCTACTCAAGTCATTAGAATGGGGTTTTAAAAAGTCAGTGATATGATACACTATCTGAGTGAATAAGGACATATGTTTTTCATTTCATTACCTGCTCACTATTCTTCAGAGAAACAATGAAGCTATGGTTGAGAGTTTCCAGGTGAGCAAGTGATTTCTCCAGATGATTCAAAGTATCAGCATAGGTAACTGCAGAAGCATTAGTTTCCTGATCATCTTCTGAACTTCTTTTTCTTGGCTTCTCAATAAAATGTTTGACTGTTTTAATTGCTTTTCTAGTCATGTCTTTACGTGCTTCCACAGGTAGCTTAAAAAAGAACAAGAAAATGTTTTACGATCTAGACATACTAGCTTTCCATTATTACATATGTATAGTTAATAAGTGAATGTTTAGCATTTACAACTTTAAATCAACAAATACGACTGTTATACTTTGTTTCTCCAGAGAAAACAAATAATGAGGTATAATATTTACTACTGTATTAGTAAGAACTGGAAGCAAGAGCGGCATCCACTTCCGAAATGGCTTGCCTCCAGAAACTCTATGTATGAACAGTGCTCAGGCCGTTCGTTCACAGGGTCGCTATGAGTCGTCTACGACTCGACGGCATCAAACAAAAACAACATTAGTAAGAATGGGTTTGATAAGCATGTTGTAATGAAACTAGAAGTCTTTGTTACATAGTTTGTTGATTACAGTGAAAAAAGCCTATATTCATCATTCACGGTTCTGAGGAAGGAATTATAAGAATAAAGAGTTTAACTGGAACACAACTACAATGTAAAATTCAAAAGCTGTGTAATTGATAACAAAAGCAATGTTAACTGCCTTATCGTAACTTACTGGATAAAATACTATGTGACCATTAAAAACTCAATTTAAAAAAGAATTAGTTGAAAAATGCTTATCCCATGAAATTATGTGGTGTGTGCATTAAAAATTTAAGCTATAATGTGCTTATAATTAAAAACAAAAATACACATACATCTACAAAAATAAGTGTTAAATATCAGCTTTTTTTAATTTTCAACTTTCCAAAGCACGTGTAACAATGCTGTATTCATCCATCCAGTTATTGAACTCTGAGTATGGGACAAGCACTACATAAAGTAGCCAGGGATTCATTTTCCCAATAATATTAAAAAATACTAAGATCACTCTCAAGAATACAAATAAAGTTTATATCTTAGCAATTTATACCTGCATCATTTTGGATGCTTTTGACACCATGGTTTTTTTTTGGTGCTGTTTCAGATCCAGAATGAGTCTCTGTTCAATTACTGAAGTATATGCCCAACGTCTTCACAAGAACTTAATGTTGCTTTCAACAATTATTTAAATATAAACAAAAGCTCTAAGGATAAAAATCTTAGTTTTTCCTATTATTCTTGAAATAAGTTATTCTTTGTATCTGGCAGGGACTACCAGAGGAATGTCTATCTGTGTTTCATTGATTATGCAAAGGCATTTGACTGTGTGGGTCACAACAAACTGTGGCTGACTCTGAGAAGAATGGGAATCCCAGAACACTTGATGGTGCTAATGTAAAATCTATACTTGGACCAGGAGGCAGTCATCAGAACAGAGCAAAGGTTGGAGATGTGTCCTATCTCCATGCCTTTTCAATATATATGCAGAACAGATTATCTGGGAGGCTAAGCTCTATGAGGAGAAATGTGGCATCAGGATTGGAGAGAGATTACAACAATCTGTGTTATGCAGATGACACAACTCTGCTTGGTGAAACTGAGGAGGATCTGAAGTGCTTGATGCAGAAAGTCAAGGACTGCAGCCTTCAATATGGACTGAGGCTCAATATCAAGAAAACAAAGATTCTCACCACTGGGCCAATTGGCAGTATCATGATAGATGGTGAACAGCTTGAGATTGTTAACAGCTTCAGTTTGCTTGACTCCACAATCAACACTCCTGGCACCAGCATCCAGGAAATTAAAAGACGTATTGCGATGGGAAAGTCTGCTGTTAGAGACCTCTCCAAAGTACTGAAGAGCAATGGGTGCACCTAATACAAGTCATGATGTTTGCAATCACTTGTTATGCATCAGAGAGCTGGACAATGACTAGGGATGATAGAAGGAGAATTGATGCCTTTGAGTTGTGGTGGTGTAGAAGAATACTGACTATACCATTGACTGCTAAGAGAACAAAAATGTTTGTCCTAGAGAGGGTTAAACCAGGCTGCTCCTTGGAGGCAAGGATTCTGAAGCTTTGTCTGACATACTTTGGACATGTTGCAAGGCAGGACCAGTCCTTGGAGAGGGACATCTTGCTTGGGAGAGTGGTGGGACAGGGTAGGAGAGGAAGACCCTCTATGAGGTGGATTCATTCAGTGACTGTGGTAATGGGGGAATTAGTTTGTCGAAAACAGTGAAACTGGTATAGGATGGAGCAAGGTTTAGGGCTGTTGTACACAGGGTCACTATCAGTCACAGGTGACTCGATGGCACATAAAAACAACAACAACAGCAACAGCATGTATCTGACTATTCTAAAAATTAAGAATAATGACTACAGTGAGAAGCAAACTTCCATTTTTATTTGTTTCTTCTTCTAAGTCACTTCTGATACAAATGACATTTTCAATGTGGATAACGGGACTTTTCTTAATCCTATGTCAATATTGATAAAGAAGTATCTTTAAACTCTATTCTGAATTGCTGTTAAGGGCTTATTTTGCCAATAAAACTTCAAAACAAGTTCTCCAGTCCATACATTTTAACAATTTGCTTTTAAGTATTGTCATTTACATAATAACTTGGAAGTCATTAATCACTGGCAACTAATTGTTAACTGCCATAACTTAATTGTTATGTCTCTCCTGCCAAATAAACTGAAAACTAAAAACACAAGAGCTAAGAAGTGTGTTATTGACTCACTTAGCGTTTTGGGATACTGTAGGGGTTTGCAAGTTGCCAAGATGTTTGGAAGTTATATTACAAGTATTTCAAATATCAGCAAAGGTATACAGGATGGACAGATTTTAGCAGACCTTCCAGACTAAGACAGGTCAGGAAGAAAGGTTCAGAAATTTACTTCAAAAGAGCAGGCATTGAAAACTTTACCTATCATAAGAGCACTTTGTATAACAGAATACTGGGAGATAAGGCCTTCAGGTAAGAAAGCACTAAAAATATGGTCAAGGAAGAGCTGCTTACGCAAAGCAGAATGGACTGTGATAAAATGCTGGAAACAAAGCCTTTTGGACCTTCAGTTGTTGATATGGCATGACTCAAATTAGGCTCTACAGCTATAAACATACACAAGTAATAAGAACGTGGAATGTAAGAAATCAGATAAAATTGCCCAAGTTTTTAGAAATGGAATGGGGACACTTAAAGATATCCTAAAGATAAATGAGCTGAAATACCACACACTGGTATAGGTTATTTTGAGTCCAACAAGTCAGGAATGGTCAATTAAAGAGGAATGCTGTTACATTATCATCAAAGAAAACACTTAATGATTTATCCCAAAGTGCAATACTTATACTGATGGGTTAGTATCATTATACCTGCAAGGAAGATCAAGTAATAGATTTCTTACTGGAATTTATGTTGTTATTGCTACATCATCAAGTTGACAGGGACTCATAATTTTGATGATGTTGAGATAAAAGTTGGTGTTTAATATTTACTAGCTGGATGACTTTGAGTAACTTGACAAATTACTTCAAGTCTTAGATTTCTTCATTTGTAGAATATGCAAAATGCCACTTACTGCCTAATTCCACTTAAAATTTAAATGAGAAAATGTGGAAAACAATCAGCCTAGTAGTGGCATGCCCATAGTATTTACTCACTAAAAAAGAAGTTACATTTTAATTCAATCAACTAATATACACATAGTTCATGTCTCATCTACTCCTGTTTCTCTTATCAGCTTCCCCAAATTCCTCAGCACGGTCCTCAGGGATGTTGACAAGCCATTCCATCTGGTCTGCTGGCTTAACTGGAACCGACCATGTGAGCATCAGGGACACAGAACTTTGTCATGATTTGTTGGAGTTTATACAGGTTTTCAGTCCAATGAAATTCTATTTTCCTTCTCTTTTGCAAGGCAAATATGTACTCATGTTTCAGTGACAAGCTTAAGTGAAAACATGATTCAAATCTTGATAGAAATTTAGTCTGTTTTTCCTCAGCACTAATACATCTGGACCTGTAATGGTGCCTCCTTTACACTTCAATAAAATTTGTTGGTCATGAAAAGTGAGTGCAAAGTTTGAGTGAATGATTTTATTTTTATCTTTATACCACAAAATAACCAAACATAATTTAGTGCTCACTAAGAATATGGACTGTAAACAAAGGCAATCTAAATTAATTTTGAGACAACAGTGATCTCTAAGAAACAATGGGGACTTGTACTTGGTAGATCATTTCATTTAACCCAAACTTTTGACTGTCTGACTCTTTTACAAAGTCAGACGGTCTAAAGTTTGGGCTGAATAAAATTAAGAAAGATAATTTTTAAAATGAACTTAAATCTAGTAGATGTTGTTATTAGGTTCCATCAAGGCAAGGATTACTCATATCAACCCTATGAACAACAGATCTGAACTCTGTCCTATCTTTGCTATCCTCACAAGAATCTCTGACACACCTGAGCCCATGGCTGCAGTCTGTGTCAACTTACCCGGGTGAGGATTTTCTTCTCCTTTGCTGCCCCTCTTCCAAGCATGACAAAACTGTCCAAAGAATTTCCTCTCCTAGCAGCACGTTCAAAGTGTGTAAGCTTCACCATCCTTGCCTAGAAAGAACACTCTGGCTTGACCTTTTCTAATACATATCTAATTGTTCTTTTAGCAGTCCATGGGATATTTAGTACTCTTCCAACATCACAACCAAAAGGCATTAATTTTTCATCTGTCAACCTTATTCATTGTCCAGCTTTCAGATGCATAGCAAGTGACTGAAAAGACTATGGTCTGAATCAAGTGCACCTTAGTCCTCAAACTCACATCACTGTTTCTCAGTAATTTTGGAGAGGTCCTTGACTGCAGATTTTCCCAGTACAATGTGTCTCCTGATCTCCTGACTGCTAGTATCAAGTAAGATGAAGTTGTTGTTGTCAGTGGATTTTCATGCTCAATTTTTTTAATAATTCTTCTTCTTGTAAGACAATATAACCCATAGGTTAGAGATAAAATATGGTAGAACTTCCATTTCCTTAAGTTCTTGAGTAACTGTGACAAATTTACACCATGCTTACTCTGGCAGAACATGAATACTGAGGCAGACTAAACTTTGTTAAAGTCAATATAACTTGGAGTTAATGTATCACAT